GTCCTTTGAATGTAATCGAGGTCAACTTGATGTTTATTAGAAATTTAAAGAGATTCACTCATTCGTTTAAATTCTTTTGTCTATTTCTTAGGGATCAACTTCATTCTTCGTAATGACTTCATCTCGACCAGAATACAACGACAAAATCAAATCTATGCACGCCTTGGCACCTGTAGCCTACATGGCACACATGAGAAGTCCCTTGATCAGATTGTTGGTTCCATTTGCCAGTTCTGCAGACGTAAGTAACCAAACAACAAAAAAATCTGCATCTTACCATTTCACGATTCTATTCAATTTTCTTATCCTCTAGTGGATGTTTAGAGGCAATAGGTCTACACGAGTTCTTACCATCCACCAAAATATTGGTCAACTTGGCTGCACAAATATGCAAAGACGGTTCTCATTTCCAACCAATATGCACCAACACTTTGTTCCTACTTTGTGGATTCAATCCAAGTCAACTAAATGCGGTGAGTATAAGAAAAATAGTTTGACCAAAAATGTTGGTTTTTGTAAATTAACCTTAATATTTTTTTTAGACTACTTTGCCTGCAATTTTAGCCCATGTGCCAGCAGGAGCTTCTACTAAACAGCTGATCCATTATGGACAACTAGTGGCATCAGGTAAATATAATATTTACACAGGATTGGTGATAAATCCTAAACCGTTCGTTTAATTTGGATGGCGTGTGAGACAAAAATGGATTTTAAAGTGTTTTTTTATTATCTTGCAGCTAAATTCCGCAAATACGATTACGGTTTAATCAGAAATTTGCAAAAATACGGTTGGGGCACACCACCAGCTTACGATTTGAAGAAAGTTACAGCTCCTGTGGCTTTGCACTACAGTGACAACGACTGGATGGCTCATTCCAAGGTAAAATAAAAGTTTAGGAATTATTTTGGGATATTTTAGTAATATTTTTTTTATGTGTGTATTGAAGAAGAGTTGTTTAAGGTTTTGTAAATTTTATAAGTCTCTAAAGCGACTTGGTATACTTTAAAATCTCATCAGTACATGGTATTATAAATCGGTGATTTGTTCATGATTTTATTTATTGTATCTCTTGTAACTTTTAAATAGTTTGTTTAATATAAATTTAAAAAATTAAATATTTTTTTTATTTTTAGGATGTCAATACTCTCTCTAAGCAATTGGGCAACGTAATTGGCAAATTCCGAGTACCAGATGGCAAATTCAACCATTTGGATTATTTGTGGGGAATCGACTCTGTAGATTTGGTTTATAAGAAAGTTATCAGCTTGATGAACCGATTTGGAGAAAATTAATATTAAATAATTATATGTTAGTTTAAAATGCAATTATATTAATTGTTTGTAAATATATAAAGTTTTAAGCATTGTTAAAAGTGTTTTTCCATTATAAAATATATATTACATACATATATATATATATATATATATATATATATATATATATATATATGTATGATTCTGAATTTGATGTTGACATATGTATTAACAAAGTCTAATAATCGGGCATAACATCAATAAAAAGAAAGAAATTCATGTTTTTTATTGATGTTATGCCCGATTATTAGACTTTGTTAATATATATATATATATATATATATATATATATCTTGATAGTTTTTTCGACGTTGAAACATATATATATATATATATATATTATATGCGTTTACAAACTCAAAAAACATTTGTAATACGATACTTATGTTCCAATTTCACATAAAACAACATATACATATTTTTACAATTAATTGCCTAAAGGCAATTTGCCACAGCACTAATTAACAATTAGTTCATTAGTTCATTATAAGTTTTATATACAGATTAATAATTAGTTTTTGAGATATTGTAGTTGAAAAGTTAGTGTAAGTTTTTTAAATATAAAATGTTTAATTATTTATATTTTTATATATTTTTTGTAATATGTGCTAGTGTTGTGAATTGTATTTATGTCGAACATGTTCCTATTGTTTTTGGAGAAGGTGGTGAAAATCGGGTACAAAAATCGACGGTAAGTAATTTCTTTTAAATAATTATTATTTAAAAAAAAATATAGTAGTGAATATCAAAGAATATTAAACATATTAAATTCTTAGCATTTTAGTATATACAAGTCAGTGAAGTGTATATAAAGTCAGTCCAAGAGTTATTCTGCTCCGTTTATAAATTAAATTGTTAATAAATAAGACAGCAATTTTTTTTTTATAATTTTTATATAAATTTATAGATATCAAAGAATAACATACTAAAATTATAGTATTGTATTACAACCGGTGTAGTCGTGTAGTCTTACGAGCTCTTTAAAAACTATAATTCTAATAAATCAGTAAAAGCATTAACAATCTAGTACATTTTTATAAAAAATATTTATTATTAAATAAATATGCAAGAAAATATTTTTTTTCAAAAAATAACATACTAAAATTATAGTATAGCAGTACAACCGGTGTAGTCTTACGAGCTCTTTAAAAACTACATTTTTAATAAATCATTAAAAACATTAACAATTTTTTTATAAATATGTGAGTAAATATTTTTTTTATAAATTATTAGTTTATTCATATTTATCTGAAAATAAAATACTAAAATTAGATTATTGTAGTACTTTTGGTGTAGCTTGGCAAGCTCTTTAAAAACTATCAGTAAGAGCATTAAAAATCTGATACATTTATGTAAAAAATGGCTTTAGAAATAAGTTTTTCTATTAATATTATAGTTTTCACTGAAAATGATATTTTACTCTCCGTGTACAAGTTTTTCTAATAAGTTTACAATTTCCACTTAAAATTATATTATTACCCTCAGTGCACGAGTTTTTCTAACAAATTCACAATTTTTACTTAAAACAATATTATTACCCTCAGTGTACAAGTTTTTCTAACAAATTCAAATTTTGTCTCAATTATTTTTTAGACTGATTTTATTTCCCAATTTGGTTACCCACACGAGACACATCATGTGGTAACAGAAGATGGTTACATTTTGGAGATGCACCACATTCCGAGCACCAGATCCTTGAAAAATAGACATTTGAGGACACGTCTTAATCAAAATAGACGTACTAAGATCAGGAGAAGACCTAGGCAGGTTGAGGAGGAACCTGAAAGTCCAGATTGGAATGAAATTGGAAACACTAGAAAAATTTTCGATTGGAGAGTTGATGGTGATCAAGATACATATGTGGATGATTTGAGAGGTTCTGATGGTAATGTTACGAAATATTTGGATGGACAACAAGATGTTTGCAGTTTGGATAAGTTTGTGCCAAAGTCTAAAATTGTATCCTACATAAAACCAGGACAAGATGTGTTTGCCAAGGAAGTGGATAGAGTTACTACAAAATCGAAGGAGAATGTTAGTAGTCCAAACAACCAGAACATAAAACAATCGTCAATAAAATTTGATCAAGAAAGACAACGTGCTGAACTAGATTTTGATGATGATCTGCCAAGACTTTTACAATCCCAAGAAAATGATCCATTATATGATAACAAATGTCCAATAAATCAAGACAAACAATTCAAAAGAACAAAAAGACGTAGCTACTACAGAGATTCTAAAGGATCCGTTTTTCTGATGCACGGATTGATGTCCAGTTCTGCAGACTGGGTTGTCACTGGCCCAGAAAAAGGACTAGGTACTAATTAAAATATTAGCTAAATCAAATTACATAAATAACTAGTGATGTATGGCATCGTGCCTTAAGGCAAATTGCTGGAACTTCCCGTACCGTAATGAAATATTCGAGAAATTTTAAACGTTTTCAAATATATTATTACAAATACTGAAACTTTCATTATTTTTGCTACCTTGTTATATCTGAGCAAATCAAATGTAAATCATAAATCAATTTATCTCCAGAACATTAACAATCGTCATTTCATTTCAAATTCAATTTCACAAAAAAATAGTTGCCTAACTTGCACAAAATTGAAAAAGTGCTTTGGTATAGTCACAGTCTAAACGCATTTGCAAACGATTTTGTGCTACATTTTTACTTATGCTGTGCTTAGCTTGGCGGCATTTTCACACTTGGGTAAACATTTAGACCAGAGTGGCGCTTAGACTGTGCTTAGCCCGGGTAATTTTTGAAATTTTTAATCTAAAATTACAAAAATATTTTATGGAAAGTGAAAAAAGATGTAATAATTTTTTATCTTCAAAAGCAATTGTTGTGTCAATACAAGCAGAAAGTTTTTTAGATCATTCCAATTTGACGCTTAGTTCACTCAAAAACTTCCATTTTTTGCACATTTAGCTCTATATCTTCGAAATGACTGGACCTGTCTTTGCCAAAAACTAATCACCTCTTCTCCCAATCATTACAAATTGAATGTTTTTTAGATCATTCAAATCCGATACTCCGTTCTCTCAAAAACTCGATTTGTATTTTCTGCACTCTTTGCTCCGTATCGCCGTAACGGCTGGACCTGCCTTTGCCAAAAACTAATCAGCACGTCTCCTTATTAATACGAATCGAATGTTTTTTGAATCAATCAAATCGCTTCATCCGTGTTCCCGAAATCGTCGACAAAAATTTGTATCCGAACACATACACACACACGCACACACACATACACATACACACACACATACATCTATTTTTTTCAAGGTATGCCAAAATGTTCAGAAACCTCTGAAACGTAAAGATATATAAAAATTTTCATTTTCGATTTTTTTGCGATTACTATAACTTGCACTACGGGAAGTTAATAATAATTACAAAAATGTTGGCAGCTTATATTTTGGCTGATGCTGGTTACGACGTCTGGTTAGGCAACGCACGTGGAAACAAATACTCCAGACATCACGTGTCCTTAGATCCTGATGCTGAAGACGATCATGATTTCTGGAAATTCAGGTACAACTATAACATAACAACTCTTATGCTTTTTTTATTGAATGTCTTTTATTTATTCCCCAGTTGGCACGAAATTGGTACCCAGGATTTACCAGCAATGATCGACTACGTGTTAGAAACGACCAATCAGAGAAGTCTGTCCTATGTTGGTCATTCCCAAGGAACAACTTCATTTTTCGTGATGACTTCAGAAAGACCTGAATATAACCAAAAGATCAAATCTATGCATGCTCTGGCACCAGTGGCGTACATTGGACATTGCTGGAATCCTTATGCTTTGGCGGGGATGCCTCTGATAATACCGATAGAGGTAATAATATTAATTATTATTTCTTCAAAAATAGGTCTATTATTCTTTACCTCGTGTCGTTCTATTTTTATCCCTGTGCCTATTTTTAGAACCTGGATAAGAAATACGGTCCCCGAGAAATGTTTCCAGCAAACGACGATCTGACAAAAATAAGTAACTTTTTGTGCTCGGACGAAAATGCTATAAGAGGTGTTTGTGTAAAGCTATATTTAGCAGCTTTTGGGTTCGACCCATGGAACGTAAATAGGGTAAATTGTTTGGAGTACATTCATCCCAAAATTAAAGATAAAAATTGATGTTTTTGAATTTTAGACACTGATTCCTGATATAATGAATAACATTCCGGCAGGTGCTTCTAGTAGACAGTTTATACACTATGCGCAGTTGATCAGAAATAGTAAGAAATAGTTGTAAGAAAATTTATATAATTTATCTGTCACCATTTGGATATTTTTGCATCTATTCATCACCTTTTCGATATTTTTGCTTCTATCCATCACCCTTAGGACATCTTTACTCTCATCTATCACCATTTTTTTAAATATCTAAATGCCAATAGTTCTGCTTACAAATTTTTCATTTTTATACTTGCTAATTTTCATTATTTCTGGTTGCCAATTTTTATATTTCTGGCTGTCACCTTTCATATTACTGATTTTTCTTATTTATGATTATCAATTTTTTCATACCTATTTTTTAAACCTTTTCATTGTCACAATCACATGTTTCTGGTTACCATTTTTCCTTGTTTTTGGCAGCCAATTTCCTTGTTTCTAATTATTAACTTTTCTATTTTCTGGCTGTAAATTTCTTTTTGATACTTTTTAAATTGTTTGGTTACCAATTTTCCTTCATTCTAGTTGGAAATTGTTCTCCGTCATGGTTGCCAAATTTTCTTACTTCTGGTTACCAATTTTTTTGTTTTCCAGAAAGATTTGCAAAATACGATCACGGCGTTTTGGACAACAAAGACTTGTACAATTCTCTAGTGCCACCAAACTACGATTTGGCCCAAATAAGTTGCCCTGTTGCCCTTTATTATGGAGACATGGACAATCTGGCAACACCACAGGTAAATAGAAACAATTACATACTTGTACAAGAATCACTTTAAAATGCAATTTTAAGGTATACCAGATTGCTCTGGAGCATTGTGATGTTAGGAAAAGTTGTTAATAATTTAATTTTGAACAAATTTGCTTAACACATAATCCATATTAATCAAATAGTTTAGAATTTATGAACGATTTAAAGAATAAGTACATTTCGATAAAACTGAGATTAATTTTTGTTTTCAATAGCTATTTTGAAGTATAACTAGTTGCTCTAGGATACTAACGTGTTAGAAAACTTTGTAGATAATTTATTTTTGTATAAGTTTGCCAAATATTTTTAGTTTAGTTTTTTTAATTTACACTATCAGTTTAAAAGTTACAAGAGATATAATAAATAAATGTACCTATAAGTAGTCTACTCGCCATACACGAAAGTAATGCATTTTGATAAAGCGTTAGGATTGCATTTTAATATTCATTATAGATTTTAAAATATTGTGAGTTATTGTAGAGTTGTTTGTTATTAGAAAACATTATAAATAATTTAATTTTGTACAAATTTCTCATATACATCATTTATATAAACCGCATAGTTTAAGATCTACAAACGATAAAAAAAAATATTACACAATTAAATTTGTCGCTGTATATTATTTGCACTATTTCTATTTCTGCCCAAAAAATAGCACCGTGGACTATTATAAATATCAGAATAAATAAATAAGAGTCTAAACAATTTTTAACAAATTTTTACAAATTTTATTTCCGTTTTTTAGGACGTCAAACACTTATCCAAAGAGTTGCCAAATGTTTTGGAAGTATATCGAGTTCCACACGACCGATGGAACCATATGGATTTTTTGTGGGCTGTTAATGTTAAAAAATTGTTGTATGACAGAGTTGTTGAAAATATCGAAAAATATAATTAATTTATTAAATAAAAATATATATTTATTTATTTACTTTCGCCAAAAGTTTCATTTATATCGAAGCAACAGTTTAAAAGTTACAAAAGATATAATAAACAAAAGCACTTCCAACAAATAAGTCATCAACTTATTTAATCATATTTTTGAATTTTAAAGTAAACCGAGTTGCTGTAGGGTTTCATGATATCAGACAATATTATAAACAATTTCATTTTAAACAAATCTCCCAAATATACTATATTGTTTGAATAAATTGTTTAAAAGTTACCAAAGATATGATAAACAAATACACAAATTAAACAAAACGCTGCAAATATAATTGAAAATAGTACGGGCTTTGGTAGACATTTATAATAAAAAGTATAAAAATATAAATATAAACAATATTTATACCAAAAATGATGAATTGTAGATTCACAAAATATTCGTTAGTTTAAAATAATCGTCGCATGAAAAGTTTAATAAATACCTAATTAAATCTTTATATCAGTCTTCACATAATCATTTTTTATAAAGAATTTTGTTTCTTTACGCCACTGGTATAAATATTTAAAATAATTCCAAATTATGCAAAAATTAAGTAATACCGATTGTATAATACAAAATTTTATCAACGTTAAAATTTTATTTTAAATACTCTCACGTCCAGATTGATAAATTTGGAAGATTGTTTGTTTAAGAAAATGTGATCGAGCACGAACAGTAGATATTTGTATTTTTCCATTTATATTTGTTTAATTATATATATATATATATATATATATATATTGCCACAGTTGTTGCCATGGATAAAAAAAATACAAATATTGGAGGTGGTTAGGTTCAATTTTTGATCAACAAGATCAGTGAAAAATTTATTTGGTGGTGACAATATGAAGTTGATGGTTGCTGTTTTGGTTTTTGTGGTTGTGGGTGCGATTAAATGCAGTATTTTGGATAATATACCACTTTTAGGAGCCATAAATCAAGACAGTGACCAAGATCAACAAGAAACACCTGATGACAACGTTGGTGATATTTTAAATTCATCTGCAAGTTCACTTACAGCTGATGGCAAAGACCAATCAAATCTGGTCCTCGACATCCTGATGGAACCATCACAAGACAGTCCTTTGGCCACAATAGGAGAAATTCCAAAAGACCTCACCTTAGGTTTAACAAGTTTTGCAAATTGGATGGGATTGACACAACCATTTGATAATGGATTTGCAGATATATCACAACTCCTAGTATCTGCTGTTTACGATTTGGATATGGAGCAATCTGCAGGGAGTCATATGGCTGGATTGATACAGCAAAAAACAACAGTAAGGGTGAAAGATACAACTTGGTAATAAACAAACTAATTTGGTTAAATTTTAGACAGATTTGATACAACAATATGAATATCCTCATGAAACTCATCATGTGACAACTGAAGATGGATATATTTTGGAGATGCATAGAATTCCTTTCCAAAACAAAGTGCGATATCAAGGTGTAGTTTTTTTGATGCACGGTTTGCTATCGAGTTCTGCAGATTGGGTCGTCATTGGTCCACAAAAAGCTTTAGGTAAATTTTTATCCTACCAACACCGTATTTGTATTAAAATTGTCATGAATGTTTTAGGATTTCTTTTACACGATATTGGTTTTGATGTCTGGATGGGCAATGCCAGAGGCAACAAATACTCAAGAGGACATTTAGAACTCAACAGTGCTACTGATTCTGAATATTGGGACTTCAGGTACAACTTTAAATTTAACAACATCACGCAATGCAAATTTTTATTCTATCTATTACCAGTTGGCACGAGATTGGCATCAAAGATGTACCAGCTATGTTAGACTATATCCTGGAAACAACTGGTGAACAGAAGTTGACTTATGTAGGACATTCGCAAGGAAATACTGCTTTTTGGGTAATGGCATCAGAAAAACCAGAATACAACACCAAAATTAAATCAATCCACGCTTTGGGACCAGTGGCTTTTATGAGCCATACAACTAATCTAATTCTTAACTTAATGATGCCTTTGTTGTCTGGTGGACTGGTAAGCAATAATTGGTAATAATAATAATTCACTATAATTGGTAATTTATAGTTAATCCAATTGATTCCAATTGTTGTCCAGCTGCTGACAAATTTCTTAGGCCAGTTTGAGTTTATGCCATCTAAGGGTTTTGAGACATTGTTTGGAAGACTTTTATGCAATGATGAGGATCCTGTGCAAATAGCATGCAGCAATATATATTTTATTGCATTTGGATACAATCCTTCGCAATTGAACGCGGTAAGGGTAAAAAAAAACTAAAATTAACGATTTTAAGAAAGTTGACGTCCTATTGTAAAAAAATTTAGAATTGTTTTTTTGGCCCTTGCTCTACAATTATAACTCAATCGAATAAAATCAGACTATCTGATCAGTACGACTCGCCAATATTTGTTTTCATCACAATTTATTGACAATGACATCACATCAGCAAATTGCAAGTTGTAATCTGTGCCAATCTGTCCACCAAATCTTAAGCGAATCTTTTATTTATTTATTTACATATTTATCCACGATTTAGCCGCAATCAATAATAATAAATAATATTCATCAATCTTTTAGACTTTGATACCAGAAATCTTAAACAATGTACCAGCTGGAGCCTCAACAAAACAAATGATTCATTATGGCCAACTAATTGTCTCCAGTAAGTAAACACCAAACGTGATATTATTGATATATACAAACAAATCATCAATTTTTTAGAAAAATTCAGACAATACGACTACGGACAATTAGGCAACTTAGAGCTTTATGGATTTCCTGAACCTCCTGATTATGATTTATCCAAAATAACGACACCAGTTGCTTTGTACATAGGACCAAATGATAATACAGGAACTCCTGAGGTAAATAGACAGTGAACTTATTTTCACTTATATGTATTGTTTATGTTTTATATATTAGGATGCTGAAATTTTGGCATCGCTGCTGCCTAATGTGATTCTAAACTTTTTGGGTCCAGGACCAAATTGGTCGCACGTTGACTTTATTTGGGGCGAAGACGTCAAAGAATTACTTTATGATAAAGTTATTGATACAATTATGAAATATAATGTTTAGGATTAAAATGTTATTATTAGATTTTTATGTTAGAATGTTGCTGGAAAATATTATAAATTATTTAGTTTTGTACTAAACAGGTCACAAATAGATATAATAAAAAAATGCACATCCACGAAATTAGTCTATTATTAACTTCCCGTAGGGCCATAAACCGAAATTTTTTGTATTTCTCGACATTTTGAAGTTTTCTGAACATTTTGGCATACCTAGAAAAAAATGGATGTGTGTGTGTGTGTTTTTTATGTCCGCATTTTTTCGTCCACGTTTTCGGGCGCACGGATCAACCGATTTGAATGATTTAAAAAATATTCGATCCCTATTGATAGGGAGGTGTGTTGATTAGTTTTTCGCAAAGGCAGGTCAACCGTTACGGAGATACAGAGCAAAGAGTGCAGAAAATAGAAATCGACTTTTTGAGAGAACGGAGTATCGGATTTGAATGATCTAAAAAACATTCAATTTGTAATGATTGGGAGAAGAGGTCATTAGTTTCTGGCAAAGGCAGGTCCCGCCATTTCGAAGATACAGAGCTAAATATGCAAAAATGGCAGTATTTGAGTGAACTAAGCGTCCAATTTGAATGATCGAAAAAACTTTCTGCTCGTATTGGCTAAACAATTGCTTTTAAGGATAAAAAATTTTTACATCTTTTTTTATTTTCCATAAAATATTTTTGTAATTTTGGATTAAAAATTAAAAAAAATACCCAGCCTAAGCATAGCCTAAGCGCCACTCTGGTACAAATGTTTACCCAAGTGCATTTAGACTGTTTATATACGGGAGCACTTTTTCAATTTTGTGTAAATTAGGCAGCTATTTTTTTAAATTGAATTCGAAATGAAATGACGATTGTTAATGTTCTGGAGATAGCAAAAATAATGAAAATTACAGTATTTGTAATAATACATTTGAAAACGTTTAAAATTTCTCGAATATTTCATTGCGGTTCCAGCAATTTGCCTTAAGGCACGATGCCATACATCACTAGTTAATTATTATAATATAAGTAGTTAAGTAGGTCTAAAGTTCTACATTTTAAAGTGCATTGAGTTGCTTTGAAGTTACACATCATTATACAATGTATAGACAATTTCATTTTGTGTAAATTTTCCAAATAAATAAATTAGTTAAAAAATTATTTATTTAAAAAATTTATCAATTACCAAGCATCACCTGTAGATATTTGTATTTTTTTATTCTTACTTGCCCAATATACATATTGACACAGTTGTTACTATGTCTGATGGCAAAAAATAAATATTGGAGGCGGTTTACTTTAATTGTCAATCAATAAAATCAGTGAAAAAATTCATTTGGTGGTGACAATATGAAGTTGACGGTTGTTGTTTTGGTTTTCATGAAAGTTAGTGCAATAAAAAGTAGTATTTTGGATAATGGACAACTTTTAGGAACCAAAAATAATGACAGTGACCAGGAACAACAAGAAACACCTGATGACAACCTTGGTGATATTTCAAAGCCAAATACCAATCCATCTACAAGTTCACTTTCCCCTGAAGACTTAAAATCCCTTACATCTGATGACCACAAAGACCATTCAAATAAGGTCTTTGAAGTTCTGACGTTACCACGAAATGATAGTCCTCTGGCCATCATTACAGAGATTCCAAAAGACATGTCCTTAAGTTTCACAAGTTTTGCAGACTGGCTAGGATTGACACAACCATTTAATAATGGATTTGCAGATATATCACAACTCTTAGTATCTGCTGTTTACGATTTGGATATGGAGCAATCTGCAGGCAGTCATATGGGTGGACTGATACAGCAAAAAACAACGGTAAGGGTAAAGGGTACAACTTGGTAATAGACAAACTAATGTGGTCAAATTTTAGACAGATCTGATACAACAATACGATTATCCTCACAAAACTCATCATGTGACAACTGAAGATGGGTACATTTTGGAGATGCATAGAATTCCTAACCAAACAAGGCGCAATATCAAGGCGTAGTTTTTTTGATGCACGGTTTGTTATCCAGTTCTGCAGATTGGGTCGTCATTGGTCCACAAAAAGCTTTAGGTAAATTTTTATCCTACCAAAACCGTATTTATATTAAAATTGTCATGAATGTTTTAGGATTTCTTTTACACGATATTGGTTTTGATGTCTGGATGGGCAACGCCAGAGGCAATAAATACTCAAGAGGACATTCGAAACTCAACAGTGCTACTGATTCTGAATATTGGAACTTCAGGTACAACTTTGTAATTTAGCAACATCACCCAATGTAAATTGTTGTTCTATCTATTACCAGCTGGCACGAGATTGGTTCTAAAGATCTACCAGCTATGTTAGACTATATCTTAGATACAACTGGTGAACAAAAGTTGACTTATGTAGGACATTCCCAAGGAACAACTTCCTTTTGGGTGATGGCTTCAGAAAAACCAGAATACAACACCAAAATTAAATCGATGCAGGCTTTGGCACCAGTCGCATTTATGAGTCATGTGACTAATCTAGTTGTTAACCTGTTGGCAACCACGTTATCTGGTGTACTGGTAAGTAATTATGAGTAATCTAAAGGATAACTTGTATTTGATACAATTGGTTCCAAAATTTTCCAGCTTGTCACAAATTTATTTGGCCAATTCGAGTTCTTGCCGTCTAAAGGTCTTGAGACATTGTTGGGAAGGTTTTTATGTGCTGATGAAGATCCTTTGCAAATGGCATGTACCAACATGTATTTTATCGCGATAGGATACAATCCTTCACAATTGAACGCGGTAAGGATAAAATTGTCATCTTAAGATATAATCTGCGACAATCTTTCAATATACCTTTACATTTTTAGCCTTTGCTACCAGAAATCCTAAACAATGTACCAGCTGGAGCGTCAACAAAACAATTCTTACATTATGGCCAACTCATTGCCTCCAGTAAGTAAACATCAAACATGATATTGATAACAAATAAATGTTTACACATTTTTTTTAGAAAAGTTCAGACAATACGACCACGGCCAATTAGGCAATCTAAAACAATACGGATCTCCAGAACCACCTGAATATGATATATCCAAAATTACGACACCAGTTGCTTTTTACACAGGACCAAATGATAATTTGGGAGACCCTGAGGTAAATAGAAAATAAAACTTTTTATATTTGTGTACATTGCTTTTTTTTATATTTTAGGATGCTGAACAAATGGCATCGCTCCTGCCTAATTTGGTCGTAAACTTTTTGGGACCAATACCTCTTTGGACGCACGCTGATTTTATTTATGGAAAAGACGTCAAAGAATTATTTTATGATAAAGTTATTGATACAATTATGAAATATAATGTTTAAGATTAAAAATGTTCCTTATTGGATTTTGCAAAGTTGCCAAATTTATCAAAATTAAAGTTGTATATATGCTCTAGTTTTTAAGGCGCAACTTTTTTTAGAACAAAGATACTAAAATTTGGTAAAAGAAACTTAAAATTTAGATCAAATTCACCATCAAATGAAAACCTTGATTCTTTCCTATCATCTCTAGTTAAAGTTCTACAAGTGTTTTGATACAAATAGTTTGCCTCATATATTGGTGAATAATGTTTCTTAATTAAAATAAATAGTTTATATCATATAATTTATATTCTTGGTGTCTAATTATTTTATCAATTATCTATCGATTCGCTCCTGATCAAAACTAATTAAAAAAATTATCGGACATCAATGTGACCTCCACGAATTCGCACGATGATAAAAGATAAGATTAGATAAGATAACAAGATATTCGTCATTAATTAAAAAAATCAATTGTCAAATTAGTCGTACTAAAATTATATCAATCACTGTCAATCAGAAAAAAATTAGAGATAATATTAACATTATTATGCTCTTTTATCTTCCTCCTGTGCAAAAAATTATCTTTTTCTATATAAAGGTGAAAATTTTGATTTGAAGACGTTTAATCAAATATTTGATTGGAAATATTGTTACGATAAATTTTGATATTTAGTGATAAAAATGAAATTTGGAATATTTTTAGTGTCATTTTTCTTTGCTGCAACTTTTGTCAGCAGCAAATCTGTGTATCAACCAAAGCCAATAATTGACCTTAATGCAGTGGTAAGTAATTGATGGAAAAAACAAGATTCGTTGTTTTCTTAAATAGTTTAGAAGATACCCAGAGATCGACTAAGCATTCATAATTGTTTAGCACGTCCTACAAAATTGTGAAATATTGTGAATTTTGCTTTGGTTAGTTTCCACGTAAAATATTACTAAAAAATCTAATTTTTCTCCCAGGAGAAAATAATTGCAGCCGAAGGTTACCCAAGCGAAACCTACAACGTGACCTCCGAAGATGGATACATCCTAACAGTCCACAGAATACCCTTTAGCCCTTCAAAAGGTCAACCAACAAAAGGCGTAGTCTTTCTGCAACATGGTCTTTTGTGCAGCTCCGCCGATTGGGTTGTCATGGGCAAACAAAAAGGCCTAGGTAATAGATATATACACTAAACAAATTACAAGACATAATGACAACATATGGTTTGTTCTAGGTTTCATCTTATCTGACGAAGGTTATGATGTGTGGCTGGGCAATGCAAGAGGCAACACGTTCTCTAAAAGACATATCACTTTGGATCCTAAAAAAGATGCCAGAAAGTTCTGGGAATTCAGGTACGACTTAAACACCATCATGCCCAAAATATTTACTTAGGAACTTAAAAAACTATGTTTACTAGTTTAATATTTAACTAGTTGGTATTGGTATTTTTCCTTGAGGCAAGTTACATGAACTTCCCGATTTGTGTAAACAATCGACTTAATCCATGATAGATAAATTAATTTATGAGTGATTAAAAGTATATTCGAAGTGGATTTATTACCCATTATTAAAAATCGAACACGGCAACCCGGTCAAAATATTTTTTAAAAGCAAATTTTCAAAAATCAATAATTTTCATAATTGAGACAGTTTTTCTGTAGGACCTTAATTGTTTAGTATGTTCATTAAGACCAAGCATTTATCGTTATACCAGGTAAATCATCTAATTTTAATTTTAACAAATGTCTAAAGAACTACTCATTTTCTCAAACTTTAATGAATTTTTAAAATTGAACTACTTGTCGTAAGGCCGTAATATTTTAGTAAGTTCTATAAGACCATGATATATATCGCCCAAAAAAGTTCAATAAAAATTGGCTTAAATTTTTTTTTCAACAGTTAATTACAAGAAAACGGCTCGGTAGATTTTCACCTAAATATCATTCCCAACTAATATCTTTCGAACAGTTTTTGATTTCTTAAAATCGATTCGGTAGTATGAGCTTAAATGTCGACGAAAAGTTTAACACTTTCTTCCAAATTACAAAGAAACGGCTCGGCTGATCGTCGCACAAAACTGAGAAACGATAATCCTCATCGAGTTACATCAAATGGTTTTTGAATTTCTGAAATCGGTTCAGGCGTTTTTGAGCAAACGTCGATGAAAGCTTTAATTTTGACAAATGCCAAAAAAAAACAATTTTTGCAAACTTTGACGAATTTTTAAAGCTAAACGAGTTGTCGTAGGGCCGTAATATCTTAGTATGATCTAGAAGACTATGGTTTCTACCGTCAAAAAATAATCATGAAAATCGTCGATTTTTTTTTAAACTTTATTACAAGAAAACGGGCCGGCCGATCTTTACCAAAAACTAATCAGCACGATTCCCAACCAATATCTTTCGAACGGTTTTTGAATTTTTAGAATCGATTCAGAATTGCAGGCTAAAACGTAGACGAATAATTTTTCACTTTCCTGCGATTTATAAAGAAACGGCTCTGCCGATCGTCGCACAAAACTGACAAACAATAGTCCTCATCGAGATACATCAAATGGCTTTTAAATTTTTGAAATCGGTTCAGCCGTTTTTGAAAAAACGCCGATTTACGACAAAAAATCTGTTCACATACACGCACACACATACACACACACACATACTTTTTCCATAAATTTGGTTTCATTCGATTCAGAATGGCTTGAAACGTCGAGAAAACATAAAATTAGCGAATCGGATTTTTTGATGAAAACAAACTTCTCCTTCGTGAAGTTAAAAAATCAACCCTTCTTTTTCCATCAATTACTATCTATAAATATTTTAATTTTTTTCAGTTGGAACGAAATCGGTATGTACGATTTACCAGCTATGATCGACTTTGTGTTAAAATCCACTGGTGAATCCAAATTGAACTACGTTGGTCACTCTCAAGGAACAACATCGTTCTTTGTGATGGCTTCTGAAAGGCCAGAATACAACAATAAAATCAAATCTATGCAAGCTTTGGCACCTGTTGCTTTCATGTCCCACATGAACAGTCCAGTTGTTAGAATTTTGGCACCATTTGTTTTCAACTTGGAGGTAAATATAATTCATACTCAAAGACAACGTACATCAATGTTCTAATTATTTTTTTAATGTTTTTGTAGTTCCTCACCAGTGTAATTGGTTTACACGAATTTCTGCCTACGACCGACTTTTTGGCAGGTATTTCTGATAATTTTTGTAATGATGGACAGTGGACGCAGGAAATATGTTCAGGGGTTCTTTTCTTACTTTGTGGATTCAATGAGGAACAACTGAACTCTGTAAGTAACCAGATCACTAACCAGATGATCAATCAAAATTCTGATCAACTGGACAGATTTTTAATAAATTGATACTAATACTTAAATTTTATTGAAAAACGGTTCTGGTCATTTTGTACATTGTTAGTTAACTAATTTTATTTGAGCCAACTCCAGAAAATCTAAATTTGATCCAGAATTTTATAAACTTTCCCTTGAAATATTGAAAGTGATGAAATTCAAATTTTGTTTAAACAAATCCAATATTTTTAACCACAAATTATAAGAATCTTTAATAAATATAGTTTTCATTTGTTTACAGACTGCTTTACCAGCAATTCTCCAAAACACACCAGCTGGTGCATCTACAAAACAGTTGGTCCACTATGGACAAGAAGCCAATTCAGGTAAAGACATTTTGTAAATACTTTTATCATAATTCGGAGTAATTTTAAAGTACACCAAGTTGCTGTAGGTCTTTGTGATGTTAGACAAATATAATTTATACATCATTTTTAAACAAATTTTCATCGCACACCATTTACATAAGCACCCCTTTTCGGTTAGATAGGGAGAAACTAGATAAAATTTACTACGATTCCGTGTGAACAGTTTGAATTCGATCTTTTATTATTCTTTGGAAATAAATAGAAAATTCGGGTCATTTTTTGGTTTTTGTCAAATAATTCACAAATATCATATAAAAGCACCCCTTTTCGATTAGATAAGGAGAAACTAGATAAAATTTACTACGATTCCATGCCAACAGTTATATACACTCCGATATAAAAATTTGGAATAAAACGACTTTGAATTCGATCTTTCATATTCTTCAGCATCAAACGGTTTAAGATCTACACACAATGCAAACTATAAATGCACTGTTGGTCAACCAAATAATATCTTTATAAAGTAAATCCTTTACTTTTAGCTAAATTCCGCAAATTCGACTTCGGCTGGTTCAAAAATTTGAAAAAATACAATCAAACAAGTCCACCAGACTACGATTTGAAAAAAGTCACGACTCCTGTAGCTCTGCACTATAGTGACAACGACTGGATGGCAAATCCAAAGGTAAAATCCAAAATAAAATCAAATGATCCAATCCAATTGGTATAATTATTTTTTTTATTTAGGATGTTGACATTTTGCACAACCAGTTGGCAAACTCTTTGGGCAAATTCAAGGTTTCGGATTCGAAATGGAACCATTTGGATTTCACTTGGGGAAAAGATGCTGATAAGCTTTTGTATCCAAAAGTTATCAGTTTGTTGAATAGATTCGCTTAGATGGAGAAAATTGTTTATAACAATTGTTGACAATTTTTAATATTATATATTAAATTTATAATAAATGCATTTGTATGAAAAATACCAAGGTTTTATGATTTATGATTGCCTTATGATGGCTAGAAACTGTTAGGTAACAAATATAATTATAGTAGCTTTGGTGTCTATAATTATATAAATTTACAACAAAAAACTGGAAAATAATTGTTTTAACTATTTTACTTTCCAGAAACAAAATTTTTCAGAGTAAGATTTTTATTACGAATTTTATACCATTTGTTGTTAAATGAAGATGAAGAGAATTACATTTTTTCAGTTTTGTGAATTTAATTATTTTATAACTTAGATGTACAATGTTAGTCTGAGAAAGACGAAGTCTAGATAAAATTTCATGTAAAATAGTATTATAGAAATTTTTATATTTTTGAAAGTTTTTGAAAACCACAATTTAGCTTTTAGGTTTGTCTTAAATCCATGAGAGTAAAATTTTATATTATCAATTTTTCACTATGTGAAAAAATTACATTTTTTAGTTTTGGGAATACAACTACTTTCATAATTTAGATACACAATTTTTGTCTAAGAAAGATTAATTCCAGATAAATTTAACTATAAAATTCTATTATCAAACTTTTTATAGAATACTCAACAAAGTTTTTACAAGCTTTGCAAATCCAATATTTTAGTATTAAATATTTTTAGTACTTTAATATTTTTTTAATACTTTTTTATTTTTATTTTAAATTTAATTTAATAAAATGTATTAATA